ATTAATTTACATGCACAATTAAATGAACCTAATATAATAATGTAGTATGCACAAATAAATAAAATTAATTAACCTAACACAAAATTAATTTAAATACATTCTTTAAAATTTCGGGGTATTACATTCTCCCCCCCTAATAAAGGAATTTCGTCCCCGAAATTCACTACATACCTGTATTAAAAAGTTCTGGATACTTGGCACGGATAATATCTTCCCGTTCCCAAGTAGACTCTGTAGCACTATGATGGCTCCACTGTACACGTACTAATGGAATAGTCTTCGTGCGCAGTATCTAATTCCTACGATCGAGAATACAGTAAGGTTGTTCCAAATAGGTTGCATCGGGTTGCAACTCAATCTCACCCACATCAATGTGTTGGTATCGATCTTCATCCCGTAGAAATTTTCGCAGCATAGATACATGAAAAACATTATGTACCCTATGAAGATTATCTGGTAGAGCCAGACGATAAGCTACTGCCCCAATCCGATCTGTAATCATAAAAGGACCCACAAAACGAGGCGATAACTTACCCTTTGACCTAAATCGCATTACTCCCTTCATAGGAGAAACCTTAAGCAAAACCTGATCACCAACCTTAAACTCCAAAGCACGAGTTCGACGGTCAGCATAACTTTTCTGTCTGCTTTGAGCTGTACGCATCCGATCCCTAATAATAGCAATCTTTTCTGACGTGTCCTTAATAAATTCAGGACCCAGAAAGTTGTTCTCACCAACTCCAAGCCAACAGACAGGAGACCTACACGGTCTACCGTACAAAGCCTCAAATGGTGCCATACCAATAGTTTTCTGATAACTATTGTTATAAGCAAACTCTGAAAGCGGCAAATATTCCTCCCAATTGCCCTTAAAATCAAGAACACATGCCCGCAACATGTCTTCTAAAATCTGATTAACTCGCTCAGTCTGTCCATCTGTTTGAGGATGATAAGCAGTGCTAAGATATAGTTCTGTACCCAAAGCCTGCTGAAAGCTCCTCCAAAATCCTGATACAAACTTCGGATCTCTATCTGATACGATGGACAATGGTACACCATGAAGTTTCACCATTTCTGCAATATACAGCTTAGCATACTGTTCTGACGTAAAGCTTGATCGAACAGGCAGAAAGTGAGCGGACTTGGTCAATCTATCAACAATGACCCAAATAGAGTTGTGATTATGCTGTGAAGTAGGTAATCCCTCTATAAAGTCCATGGAAATACTTTCCCATTTCCACTCTGGTATGGGAAGTGGCTGTAACGATCCTGGCGGTCTCTGATGATCAATCTTAATCATCTGACAGGTGCTACATTTAGAGACAAAGATAGCTATATCTCTTTTCATGCTGGCCCACCAAAACTGGCGTTTCATGTCCTGATACATCTTGTCTCCCCCTGGATGTACAGAGAACTGAGAAGTGTGTGTCTCTCTCATCACAACATTTCTCAAATTATCAGCTGAAGGCACAACTAAACGTCCCTTGTACCTCAATCCTCCATCAGTCCCTATAGAATAAAAAGGAACATCTCCGGAGGCTAACTCCGAAACCCGGTCAATACACTGTTGATCTGAGAGTTGCGCTTGAATAACCTGATGAATGATAGAAGGAGTTACTACCACACATGCCATAAAAGCGTCTGCTAACTCATCAACCGTCTTCAAAGCATCCCACTCTGTTGTAAACAAAGCTGAAAGGCTGACATAGGGTCGGCGGCTGAGTGCGTCTGCTACAACATTCGCTTTCCCTGGATGATACTGAATAGAGAAATGATAGTCTTTCACGAACTCCAACCATCTGCGTTGTCTCATATTCAGTTCCCTCTGTGTGAACAAATACTGTAGACTCTTATGATCGCTAAACAATCGAAAAGTCTCCCCCAAAAGATAATGCCTCCAAATACGCAAGGCAAAAACCACTGCTGCGAGCTCTAGGTCGTGAGTCGGGTAATTAAGCTCATGAGGCTTAAGCTTCCTAGACCCATAAGAAACTGGTCGCTCTTCTTGCATCAACACACAACCCAAACCCTTCAGAGAAGCGTCGGTAAATACTAAATACTCGATTCCACTCTGAGGTGTGGCTAAGACAGGTGCAGAAGTTAACTTGCTCTTCAATTCAGCAAAAGCAGTCTGACAAGAATCATCCCATACAAATGGTACATTCTTCTTAGTCAGATGAGTAAGTGGACCCGCAATTTTGGAAAATCCCTGGATGAACCGGCGATAATACCCCGCCAATCCCAAAAAACTGCGAATCTCTGTCGGTGAGGTAGGCTGTCCCCACTCCATAACGGCCGCAACCTTGGCTGGATCTACTGCTAACCCTTCTTCTGACACTACATGTCCCAGAAATTTGACCTCTTTCTGCCAAAATTCACATTTCTCAAACTTCGCAAACAACTGATGTTCTCGAAGTGTCTGCAATACTGTGCGTAAATGTCTGGCATGGTCCTTCTCCGACTTAGAGTAAATCAGAATATCATCAATGAAAACAATGACAAACTGATCTAAGTATTCTCTGAATACTCTATTCATCAAGTCCATAAAGACAGCTGGAGCGTTCGTTAAACCGAAAGGCATAACACGAAACTCATAAGACCCGTACCTCGTGAGAAATGCTGTCTTTGGAACATCTTGTTCTCTGACTCGTAGCTGATGATAACCAGACCTCAAATCGATCTTTGAGAAGTAAGCAGCTCCCTTCAACTGATCAAACAGGTCATCAATTCTGGGCAACGGGTACTTGTTGCGAATAGTGACCTTGTTCAGTTCTCTGTAATCAATACAAAGACGAAGAGATCCATCCTTCTTCTTGACAAACAATACTGGTGCTCCCCATGGTGAAGTACTCCTGCGAATAAATCCCTGGCTGAGCAACTGTTGAATTTGATCTTTCAACTCTCGCATCTCCACTGGTGCCATTCTGTACGGCGCCTTAGCAATAGGCGTAGTGCCTGGAGCTAAATCAATAACGAAGTCTATCTCTCGACTCGGTGGCAAGCCTGGAATTTCCTGGAATACATCCTGGAATTCCTGTACTACCGGGATGCTGTCAAGAGATACTGCAGTCGCTTCCTGTGAGTCTTCCTCAAGAACGAATAAATAAGTGCTAGGCCCTCTATCAGGTTGTGGTACAACAAGAAGATACATCTCCTGTCCTGGTATAGAAAATACAATAGACTTTTCGTAACAGTTAACCTGAGCATGGTACTGAGATAACCAGTCCATCCCAAGTATAACATCATACGAATGCATATCTAACACTAACAAATTTGCAAGAAATCGAAGTCGGCCCATATCTATAAGGATATCACCGCTATACTCTCGTAAAATTGCGCCAACTCCCAATGGTGTATAAATGTTAAGGGGTTGGTCACATAACTGAGTCGTCATACCAGATAAGATAACAAAAGATCTAGACACAAAAGAATGTGATGCACCAGTGTCAAACAGTATACGAGCAGTTCTACCATGTATAGAAAACATACCCTTAATAGCCTGAGGAGCCTGCGCATTATGTGGCATGAAGTTATAAACTCTGCCATGATGCAACTGCTGTGGAGGTTGTCCCGGAGGAAATGGTGGTGCTGGAAGTGCCGGAAAATTCTGAACTTGCCCACGTGGCATCGGTGGGGCCGGTAGAGGTAACGGCTGATTAGGTCTCGGCTGCCCATACTGTCCCTGTTTAGCTTTGGGACACATCTTGGCCGGATGCCCAATCTCTCTACAGTGATAACAACGTCCCGTAAAAGGACCTGCCTGCCTCCTCTGTTGACTTCCCGACCACTGTTCCTGTCCGGTCTGAGGTATCCCACCTTGTCTACCCTGATTAGGGACTCCATCCCTCTGCACATCTAGGTTTCCTTTGTTTTTCTTCCAAGGTTGATGTCCTTGAAATCTGCCCCGATCATTGGACTTGGCACCACTGCTGCTTCCTTTCTCCCCTGTCTGGTAGTCTCGGTTAGTCCGCTTATCTCCCTTGGACTTCCGGTAATCACTCCTCATCTGGCAGTGCTGTAAGGCGGCATTAACCACCTGGATATAAGTAGTATATGCCGGACTACCTAAGATCACCACTTTAATCGGCCATATTAACCCCTTCACAAAGCGGTTTCTCTTCTTTTCTTCCGTATTGACGTCCTCTGGTGCAAATAATGACAAATTTATGAACTTCTGTTCATACTCAGCCACAGTCAGATCTTCCTGTTGCAGATCCAGAAATTCGGTCTTCATCGCTGATCTTACTGACATAGGAAAATACTTGCCGTCAAAGCGAGTCTGAAATTCAGCATACGTCAATCTGGTCCTCTCATCGACAGTAGTAATAGACTCCCACCACTGCAATGCATTGCCTATCAACATAAACGTAGCTAGCATCTGTTTCTGCACTTCGGTACAGATTACCATCCGAAGATGACGCTCGCTCTCCTGTTTCCACTGATATGCTAACAGGACATCTGTGGACCCCGCAAACGTTGGTGGATTTCCCCGGATGAACGAGTGACGAACTTTGTCCCATGACATTGGCTGTGCCACTGGTTCAGGAACAGGTACTATCGGAGGAGGTTGCTGGTTTCGTAAAGCAGATGCTACTCCTGCTGCCACAGCTCGTGCAATGATATCAGCAACTTGAGGAGAAAATTCCTGATTCTCATTTTGAGTTGGGGAAATACTGCGATGACGGTTCGCATTCCTTGTCCCACGCCGAGACATCCTTCTATTAAATTCAGAAAAATCTAACGTCAGTACATTATAATGGACCGACTAAAAGAGTACAAAGAACCCTAATACTTAGGCTCTAATTATCAGAATACACAACGCGGAAGTATAGTAATCACAGATCCCTAAGACACTCGAACCTGGAATGCTCTGATACCAACTGTAACACCCCCACATTTTCCACGCATAAGTTGATCAGGCTTATACACGAAAAACGAGGGATATCAAAAACAATTGGCAATATACAAGCATGGAATACAAAATGATGGAAATAAAAGAATTTAGACAGGAAAGGAACATTAAATAATACAACATCCATCCATCCTTTATTTAATACAGTACTTCATTACAACTTGGAAAATCCTACGTCAGGGATCCCTAAATATAACCCTGAGAGTTCAACGTCAAAAGTAAATAAAAACTGAAACTGAAGTATTACATAAAACTTCTACCCTGCACTGGATCGTAAGAGTAGATGAGTTCGGATGATGGTCCCACACTGCTAACCTCAGCCTTGAAACGGATACTGACCGTATCCTGAAATAACAACAATGGTGGGTCAACCCCACGAGCAAGTCCTCTCTACTATGACCCAAATCAGAGAATCAAATAAATTAATCATTATGAATCGGATGAGTACTATATCTGTATACATCCTATGGGAACTATCCAATGTATAACATGACCTCAACCAGAATAGACGGTGATCACTTAGACTCACACTAGGTGGTCAAGTGTCGCCTTTCCCTACCCGGGAAATCAGCTATTATACATGGTGCACGGTACTGACAACACAGACTATAACGAACTACACAGTGATAACACCTCGCAAAGTACTGATGAATATACTGAGCATATCAATTAGGCAACACATGCCAACAATATTAATAAATATACCGAGTATGTCAATTAGGCAACACATGCCAATAATATTAAACCACATACCCCGACAGCCACACACCTGTCTATCGCAACGAATGCATAAGGTATAAATGAGTCTAAACTTATTAGCCAGCTCATATGGTTCTATATGGCAACACATCCATATAATATAAATGCGACATAATTAAACAGTCCATTTATTTCCTGAAATGCACACAGCATAATATTCATGGTTTATATATCAATTAACAGTATAAACATCCTATAAGATATCATGGATAATTTATCTGATTAAAACCATGGCCTTATTTAATTTAACAGTAATGTTTGATACCATTAAATACGATAATAACACTATTTATATTTAACAATGTCGTTTAAATAAATCACATTAGTATCCGTACTGCGAACGAGCCAATAAATGCTTAGAAAAGATTAATCGGCCATAAGAATAAGTAACGGGTGTTAAAATAATAATTTCGTGGCCCGTTAAACCCGTAATTACCAACACAGTACCTAAAAATCCAAGTTTAAGGTTCTGGAATTTACAAAACAGGCCCTAGGGGTATTCTGGTAATTTCCAGCAGCTGTAGGGACCCCACACGCGCCCTCACGCGCCTCCCAGAGCCTCCCCACGCGCAGCCCAACCTTCCCCACTCTCCCACGCGCCTCCACGCGCGTCTGGCATCAGCCACGCGCTCCCACGCGCGTCTGGAGAGTCCCACGCGCGCGCACGCGCTGCCACGCGCGCACTAGGGGTGCCTTGCTGACGCGGCGTGTGCTGGTTGGTCGGTTGCATCAGATTTCCTACGTGCGCGCCACACCGGATCAATCCACTTACATCTCCTCCATCCAACGTCCACGGATCCGGGTGTACCGCGGTATCATGGACCGCGATGCACCGGATCAATCAGACTCCACTAATGGCCAGGATGCGCGCGTACACCCTCCTATGGTGCGCCGCGTCGCACCGGATCACTCCGGTCGTCTCCCCCACTGCCGGCGACCGGAAAACTCGCCGGAAGGTCGCCGAAAATTGCAGAAAATGCTCGGAAAAATCTAGAAAATTCTAGAAAAATCCCTAAAGTCTTATTTAATTATTTTTAGCCATTATTAATTTCATAGGACATTAAATAAATATATACTATCCTATATAATTAAAATTCCATTAATTTAATAAAATAAAATTAATTATTTATTAACCTCCTAACCTTGGCTCGATGCATAAAAATAAGCTAAACAATTAATTTATTAATTCAAAGGGGAAAAGTAGATAATAACTTGCCTTTTTGGATTTAAAATAAATCCGCCGGTCTGCGCGTAGTCGGGTAAAATTGCCTACACCGGTCCAAGCTTCTTTCTCTTTCTCTTTTCCTTTCACTCTTATAAAATAGCTCTCTAGAATTTATACTTTGCTTCTAACTCCCTTTATTTTCTTCTAAGGCAAGCTAGTTAATTTATATACAAAATATATAATATAAATATTACAAATATCTTATTTATAATAACTTCTCACCCATTTCTCATACTCCTACCTATATGGCTTTAAGACAATGCTATCTTTAATCAAGATATTTGATCCACCATTCTTACCATAGTAAATGAAATTCTATCCTAGTATTTAATTTTTCATCATTACCTTGATTTAATACTAATATTATTATTACTAATATTATTATTAATAAAACTTTTATAATTATTATTATTATATTATTATTAATATTATTATTATTATTATTATTATTAAACTAATATAATTATTATTATTACAAAATAATACATTATATCATCATAATAATGATTAATATAAGCATAACCAACAAATAAAATTATTAATAATAAGACATGCATATTTACATGAACAAATTTACTATTTTAACATACACAATTAATTTACATGCACAATTAAATGAACCTAATATAATAATGTAGTATGCACAAATAAATAAAATTAATTAACCTAACACAAAATTAATTTAAATACATTCTTTAAAATTTCGGGGTATTACATTAGTTGTGCACTATACATATTTCCAGTGACTCAAATAGAATCATTAAATGACACAAGTCTTAGACTACAAAGGCGCATTTATCAATTAGCATGCATTTGTGAATTTTTTGGTCTTTCCTTAAAATTTGTTATTTTCTTTTGTTTCATGTTGGTATTTCGAGTTTAGAATCCCTCCAGTGTTATTAAGTTTAAGGGCAAATTGCACTAACACCCCCGAGGTTTTGGTCAACGCCACTCAGTGGACGGTCAATGGCTTTTTTTACATTGACACCCCCTCCAAACCTCTAAGACCGTATGAAATTACATTGACACCCCCTTGTCAACAACTCCATTTAAATCATGAAATTACAAATTTAATCTCTTAACTAATTTTAATGGACCACACTATTCTCTTTAGCTCTTCTATACATATAGATATAGTTTATATATAATAATACTTATACGCCATAACTACCACCACAACCACACCCAAACACCACTCTAACCATTATAACCACACCCAAACACCACAACCACAATCACCACCACACCAGTAGAACAAAAAATTGAAAATAGCTATGGCCAACCTATATTTATACATCTCAAATGTCACCAGAACCACCACCATACCAATATAACACCACCAACACACCCAAACACTACCAGAACCACCACCACCACCACCACCATAATAGAAAAAATAAAAATAACCTAGACACCCTGATAGCCTAGACACTGCCATAACCACCACAACCACACCCAAACAACACCCCACCAACCACCACCAAGGTAGGAAAAAAAAATTAAAAACAGTCATGGCCAGCCCATACCTACCACAACCCCGGGGGGGGGGGGGGGGGGGGGGTGGTGTGGTGAATCAATCATGTCCAACCCAAACACCACCACCATAATCAAACAGGAAAAAAAATTAAAAGTAGCGATGGTTGTTTTTATCTCACCATTCCCACCAATTCTCTTCTCGCATCTCACACCCACTTTCCTTCCCTTACTCATCTCAATCACAAATCCAACACCGTCATAACCACCACACCGCAACATTCCCCCCCCCCCCCCTCCCCCCAAATTTTACAAAATTAACTTTCCCTAGCCATCATCTCCTCCACCACCAATTACGTTTCCCTCCATCGGCCATCAGTAGCTCCTCCACCGACGAGAAGAATGACGAGGGGTCCAATTTACCAAAAAATAATAATAATAGCATAGTAAGAAAGAGGGGAATAAGAGAGATCGAGAATAGAGAGAGGGAGTGTCAACGACTAAGTACTAAAATGAACCAAAAATAAATAATAATAATAATAAAAGAGTTAAGAGATTAAGGTAGAGAAAAACGCTTAATTATGAGGTTAGTTTCGTCAATTAACAGGGCTAATATTTTGTAAATTAATTGAATTAAATAATCGGGGGCAAATATGACATTTAAAACCACAGGGAATGTCATTGTTAAAAAAACTGTTGACTCACATCTGAGTGACATTGATCGAAACCTTAAGGGGTATCAATGCAATTTACCCTAAGTTTAAAGTTTGAACTACAGTTGGTGCAAGCATTAATGAAATAATGATGTGATAAATTAAAAATAATAAACAAAGTTGATATTTGTTAAGAGCCGTCTACTCGAAAAGGTTAAGCTGTTAGAGATGGTTAATTTAAATATATAAATCCTTTAACACACCCCCTCATGTGTTATCCTATCTTGGTCCAACACAAGTGTCAATTTTAATTATCAGGGTGATGGTGCGCTTTGAACAAAAGACATTTGGTTCTGATACCATGAAGAATAATATAAGACAGAAAATAGAATAAAAGAAAGAACAATAGAAGAATATTACCTGGTTCAACCACTAAACCTTACATTCATGGAAGAAGAGAGAGGAATTCTTCTTATTAAGTTCCAAAGCAAGAAGATTTGCTCCGATCATCTTTCTCAACCACAAGAGCACTCTACTCAATTTTCTCATACGAGGATTTGATTATGACTTCATGGTCTACTTTCAAGTTTTTTCGTGTCGGATAATAGCACAAATACTGGAAAATGAGGGTAGTGTAGCATCCATCAGGATATTGCTCTCGATGTTTTCATATTCTGGCTTAATGCTACTAAATAAAGAATTTTTTTTTATTTTTTTTAATCTTTTTCAGCCCTTTGCAAAAGAACCTTCGCATCCGTAGTATGTGGGTGACACGTATTCAATTCATCTCGCATTCTTTTTCGACTTCCAAGACGTTCACTGAATGTCTTTTTACCTTGTTGAGTTATTGCAATCTCAAACTTTAGTTTAAAGAAGCGAATGACATTATTCTGATTGTCGTATAAATTTGCTATCGAATCCCATGACTTTTTTACTGAGCCAGAAAAAGTAAAAATCCCAACAATATGTGGTTCCATCGAATTGAGTATCAAAGATCTAACAAATTGATCAATGGAGATCTTAGGACAAACTTTTGGTCCATTGACAAAACACAATATTTTCTTCCCACCAAGATACAAAGTTACAACCATTGACCAAGGTACATAATTAATACCATTCAAGAGGACTGATGAAAGTCTCCAACCAGGATTAGTGTTTGATTCTCTCATTGATTAAGGGTGAAGAAACAATCAGAACGCAAAACAAATGAATCGAAAAAGAACAGAAAAACTTACTACGATATGAACTTTAGGGTGAAAAAAAACAAAACCCCTGACTTTGAAGTCGATTTTGGTCCCTCAAACAATCTCGAATATAGCCCGAATGACATATTATTAGTCACGGATGATACAGTTCCAACCGTGCTACATTCTATAAATTTCAAGTTACATTTGAAAGTTATGGCACTTTTCGTGACAGTGCGAAGAAACCAACAAATGACCGAAACAACAACTTGCTCAATGATGAATCAAATTAGAGGAACTTGCTTTGATACCATATTAATAGTTATCTACTTCAAAAACTTAAGTTGTTCGAAAGGGTATAATTTAAATATATTAATCCTTCAATAATAACAATTTTGTAACCAACATCTAAGGTTTGCTGCAGTGAGACAAAATAGTTTAGGAAAAGGTTACTTACAAGTCCTAGGTTTCACATTTAAAAAAAAATAATAATAAGCACATCTCCCGTTTGAGAATTTTTTTTTTTTTTTTTTTTTTCAATTTAAGTCTTAAATCATTAAAAAAATTCATTTGTAACCTCAACCAAGGAATTGGACGTGTTAACAATTCCTTAACTATCAAAATAGAATATATTTAAAAAGGTTAAGCGGAGAAAAACCCTGTAATATAGGTTTGGTGCACAAATAATTCTTCCTTTTCGATAATGTGCATTTTAGTGCATAAAATAAAATAAAAAAAAGTGCAAATAAGCCTAATTGAGTGCACTTTTTGGTCAAAATTGACACAAATTAAATTTAAAAACCTAATTTGCCCTTTCCTTTTCCTATTATGCCCTTCTCTAAGGGACTTGTTTCTCTCTTACGCCGCTCACCACAACCAGTGGGCGCGGCACATCCAACTGGCAATGATCTGAAGTGTCTTGGATGGTTGCTTGCAACCTACCCTTTGGACAGTTGAAGTTGGGTCGATGTAGCTCGCCGAAATTAGTTTAAACGTGACCTGCAATTGGGTTCGCCGAAAATCGGTATGTTTGAGGTTAGCAGTGATGTACGACAGTGAGTTAACGATTCAAATGGCCCCGGCGCTGACAGTGCCGGCGATCTGAAGCATCGTGAGATGGTTAAGAATATCGGTAGTGAGGTCGTTGACGCGGAGGTCGAAGGCGCCACGACGAGAGCGGGACTTAGTCGGAGAAGCAGTCGGCGTAGCAACCAGAGCCTGAGCGAGAGCAGATCTAAACAGAACAGGTCATGTGTCGCCAAATGTGAGCCGTCGCCAATTCGGACGGTGAATATCACAGCGATCACATCCATGACAACCAAGTCTATGCGAAAGATGTTTATGTTTAGACCGGTGAAGTTCAAGCCGGAGATGGAGATGAGTGCCATCAAGAAGAGGCAGAGCCGCCGCACTACAGCGCCGATGTTTTCAGTGGCAGCATAGAGCTCTGAAGAAACTACTAGCGATTGCTCGGTCGACGGCGGTTATTGGTGAGGCGGTCGGAGATGAGGAGAACATCGGCGATCTGTGAGGCGAAGAAAACAGAAACCAGAGAGAGTTCAGAAACTGCATTGATCTATGTGGCCTTTGCAAGAGCTTGTCGGTGAAGTTCCATCCCCGAACGCGGCTGTTGAAAACGTATCGATGGGGTTGGCTGTCACCGGAGTTTCTGGGCTAAAACGTTTGTTGTGGATGTCGCCGGAGTTGAAGTACCGTTTACGAAACAAAGAGGTGGAGGACGACGAGTTTGAGTTTCCCCGCCGCCGCGGATCCACGACAGTGACCGTTGTTTGGAGAGAATCTGCGGGTTAGAGCACTCAAACAGAGAGGACTCGCTGTCGAAGAAGTCGGAGAGATAGGACCACAACAGAAGATCCGATTCTAGTTTAGTGGCTGTTGGCGACGGTGAAAGATGGCGAGCTCGGGACGCTATTAATAATGGTGTATACAGGAGGCAGGTGGCTGTCGGCAACGACGAAGGACGGTGAGCTCGGGACGCCATTAATGATGGTGCATATAGAAAACGGTGTCATTACTGTCACCGGAGATGGCAACTGATGAGAAGGGTATGGATCTGATGCTGTCCATCGTGCCCAGTTCAAGGTCCATGAGGATGGCGCGTCTAATGTGTAGGATCGTGGAGAGTGGGGCGCTTAGATACATCTAAATTGGTAATTTTACCTTTCTTTATATTTTTAATATTATTTTATTTTACTAGCAAAAAGGTATTATAATTTTTTTCTGTAGACATGGATATTTGCATCAAATTAAAGGTAAAGGAGTGTTTCAACCGGGCGCAAATCCTCTCCATAACACCTCATCATATCCTACTCATCTCCAACTCAGCACAGGAATAAAAAAGTTTATTAAGCTAGTTTAATGTTTACTACAAGCCTAAATGTCATATATTATACAATCTATAATATAAAAAAATTATACAATACATTTATTCCCATCTCTCTCTTCCTCTTCTAAACTTCTCTTTTCAAAATTAAAGACCAAAAATGAGATCTCCTCGCACACAGATGTCCAATCATGGCAGATGTTGAGATAGAGTTCAAAGGAGCACAACCTCTTCTCTTACGAGCTCGAGGTAAGGGAAGGTTGTGAGGATGGTGCGGCGGAGGTCGGCGCGGCAGTGGGCGGCGAGGAAGTGGAAGACAATGTTCTCCTTGACAGAGGAGGAATCAGGGTGTCTCTCACAGATCCATCCTTCCCACGTAGGTAATTATTTCTGCTTCTTCTTCTTCTACCACGGTGGTTAGGGAAACCTCCGCTAGATGTACCTGGCTTATCTAATAGCCATATCAGTTAAAGCAAAAAAAATCATCTATTTGAACAAAGCAAAGAAGGAGGGCAAAGAATCTGATGACGAAGTCCCAATCGACTCAAGGTCCAAGGCCTCCTCCCCTCTAAAGCATCTTCCAAAGTCAAAGTAACACCACTCTACACCACACCAAATGGCTCACCAAGCTGCAGTACACCTCTACACACCTCCTATCACAAGCGCGTCCCAACAAATTTTATAATTTCACCACAATTAAAAAAACCCCCAAATTGAATTTCTTCAAACCCTAGGCCGAATTGGGTGGTCTGTGCACAAATTAAATGTTGGGATGATGTTAGAGAGGATGAAGGGCAAGGAAAATGGAGGATGGAAAATGGGTCGTGTGAAGAAAAAGACAAAGGTGCAGAGAGAGAGAGAGAGAGAGAGAGAGAGAGAGATATATATATATGTATACGTATATATGTATATATATGTATATAGAACGAAGAAGGGAGATGAAAACGAAGAAGAGTAAATACCATAGGTGCAGATATATATATAGGTACAGATTATATACATACATAAGAAGGGTAAATACCATTTTTAACCTGCCATGTCACCCCTAGTCTCCATGTCAGCGATGGACACCCTCCAGTGAGAGGGTGTCTGGAGAGTATTTTTTCCCGTTTCAGCCGTGTCTTCTCTGATCCGAAGATTTCTGACAGAAAAAGATGCATCAATAACGTAAGATATGACATAAACACACAACTGGCTTAAGTATTCTCAAAACACACAGAATAGCCAAGCATACATACACAACAGAAGAGAATTGCAAAAGGGACCATTTGAACCAATATATGACTGCATATGCAAAACACTCACCCAACAGTCCCTGTACTTCCACCTCCTGCAGTACGCACACGCTTGTTGACCTTTGCAAATTCCACTTGGCTCTCTCGCCAACCTGGTCTTCATCATTAATTGCTCACCCCCACATTCTCCGTTTTGGTGGTTGCTTTCCTCCTCAGATTTTGCATTGTGGGTTATAGCTCCATCATTTTGGTGGTTGCTTTCCTCCTTCGATTTTGCATTGTGGGTCATAGCTCCACAGCTGCAAAAGGCACATACAAATTCATGTCAGTAAAATCATAGTGTTTCCCACATTTATGATATATAAAGATAGAAACTAATATTTTCATCTCTGATTCTGACAGGATGGTATAGAACAATGGGTTGGGACCTAGGGACCACGAGTAAGAGGAAAAAGAGGGAGATAACTCTCTACTTCAAGCATAGATTCTGAAGTGTTTAAATAAGTTGTTGGAAAAAAAAAAAAAAAAATTGAATATAGGTTATACAAAATTTTCATTCCTCATTAATAATTGAATACATGCATTTCTTTATCCCATGCTCCTCAACATCATCTTTCTACTGACCACGATGCGAAAGGTTCCATTTTAGAGACTGAAAATAGAAAAATATGATTGCATTAAATCATATGTTGGACATACATAAATATATATATATATATATATATATATATAGTCTCTTCTATGAGATCACATCTCAATCTCCAAGAAGAAGAAAAAAAAAATTATAACAAACAAACAAATAAAGAACAAAATTTCAAGATAAAAATCAGATTTTAGAAGGTTCTCACCAGGGACGGAGCTATATGTGGATTTTTTTTTTTTTTTTACCCTTAGTTAATTTAATTTTTTTAATTATACACTTATAAAATATTACTATTGCCCACCTCAGCCTGCGAAATTACTAAAAAGTTTCATTAATGCCCCCATCTATTTTCTGGCTCCATTCCTGCTGGTTTTTACTGTAGTTCCACCTTAAGATCCGTTTGGGAGAAAGAGCTGTCGGAAAATTATACGTTAAAGTTAATCAGTTTACGGAAGAGGAAGATAGAAAGAGAAAGTTGTGTTGCTTGTGGAGGGCTTCCCGCGGAATTATGATGCATGGAGCTGTGAAGATGATATATGGCTGTAGTCTTCTAGTTTTAAGGCTTATTCTTATCTCTTAACATTACCAAAACCAACGACTGACATGGATTAATACGTGAGTGATGTAATCTTATATAATTCTATAACTTGATTAATGAAAGGATGTGAGTTGAGTCAACTAATTTATTATATCGGGTAAACCTTTTAAGTATTAAAATGAAAAGATATATGAATCTTTGATTAGCGAACTTGTTCATAGTCTATACGAGTCAAGCGCAATATTGCTTGGGTTTGGCTCGTTTATTAAACGAGTTTGGAGATTGAACCCAAAGAGCTTAAATCGTTCACTTAACAAACAAACCCGAGCCAAATTGAGTTTGATCCCAAATTGTTCATGAACAGCTCAGTTCATTTACAATCCTACACAGAAACAAGACAAGACCACCAACACCAAAAAGAAATGATTAACTAGGAACAAGTATAAAGTGCCATGAAAAAAAAACTCTCACCCAGAAACTTGAGTTATAAAGTAATATAGAGGAAAATCTTATTAAACGGAAACACGAATTTAAAAAAATATAATAAAAAGAAAATTAAATAAATAAAAAAAGAAAAGAAAAAGATCTATATACAATTTACGATTTATTATATATGTTACAGAGGTATAAATTCCAGTTTGTTTATACCATGGCAATCGATAAAACTAGATTCACAAACACAAAAAATGAAGTAAAAGAACAAGCCATATGTTTTGTAATATAAATATGAAAAAATTAAAAATATAAACACCAAACGTTGTGTGATGTAGGTTCTCGTTTTTAATTTCATTTTAAGATAGAAAGAAGGTGGAGTGCCAATATCCTGACGAAAATAATATATATTTATATATTTATTATAATCGAGACAAATTCAAAATTTTGACGCTTAACCAACCCATTTCTAACCTTAGAAGCAACACTCGTATTCATTCCTGTATGTGTGGAGTGGGGTTGATTAATAATCGAATAATATCGTGTGTTTGTAAAAAGCCACATTGATGAAAAATATATTAATCAAGAGTGATAACACTCTCAGTGCATTGGAGATCAATTCAGGAAATTGTCCAATAAGAAAATCATTTGGAAGAGGGGATTTTTAAGGCACTTCTATCTTATGCACGAGTCCCTAGTAATAATTATTAATGCTAATTATTACTAATGCTAATTTGAAAGCAAAATTTGCATTTGGCCACCAGAATTCCAGCCCCCTTTTTTTTCTTGGTTGTGATAACAGGATATAACAGCGACAGCGAGCGAATATAAGTGTAAATTGACCTATTAATAAGAATATTTAATAATATCAGAATTATAAACCGGATAATACGTCTACGGTGAATCATATGTGTATGTAACTTCCTTCTCTCTTTTTGAGGTGCCATATAGCCCTTGACCAACGACTTTTCGATTTGCCCTTAATGGGCTACTTCAGGTTGGGCTTGCCCACTTTGCACTCCTAAATGTCCCGAGCTAAGCATGAGCTTATGCTTAGCTCGTTTTTTACGGGCCAAACCATTGTACAATACTACAATTGTACATTTCACACATTAATGAAAAAATAATAATTTTCCTGTCTGATTCCAAATATGGATGATAACCACACCGAGATTTTAAAAATATGTTGTGATTCGCTTGAAGAAACTTGTTAATCTTCAAATTTCCCATATTATTGTGCTTTCTCTGTTAATAGGAAGGTAGAAATTGTAGCATCTTGTTAATGCCGCCATACTTCTCTCCAAGGCTCTGCTTCATATGCGCCTTTAGTTGTTCCTTACTGTTTTTGATTAGTTCCCTGAAATTTAAAGAAAAGCAAAATCAATATAAAGGATTTGAATGACCACGAAAACAACAATGAGAAGAACAATAATAATAAGGCAATGCTTGAACTTCAAAAATACTCACGGTATAGAATTTATCCTTTGGATACATATCAGGAAGAGGACGCTTTCGGATTGTAGTACCCAGAGTTGGCATCTAGATTTCTAAGCACATTCCTGATATAGAAAGATGTGCATCATTAGCATAAAATACGACCAACACCACACAACTGAGTTAAAAGTATTCCGAATGCGCAAAGATCAACCGAGCACTTGAACTAGTATTCTATTCCAGAAGGGATCATTTGACCCCCTCCCCAAAATATTAAAAGAGAACAAGATAATATAAGCCATAGGTTATATATGACTCTATATGTAAACGCTCACCTAACATTCAGTACGCACATGCTTCTTAACTTCGTCATAACTCACCCCACATTCTCCATTTTGCTGGTTGCTTTTCTCCTCAGATCTTCGAAGAAATTGCTGCTTCGGATACCTCTTCCTGGATTCATCCCTGGCCTCAAATCTGTCAATGAAATCTGCATAGCTTGCTGCCTCATAACCATTCCGACCGTCACTTTTGACATCATAATCCAGCTCAAAGGTCTCCAATTTCTCCTCCGGCGCAATGTTTTTATCTGTCCACTTTGCTTCCACCTTACTACGCCTTCTGAAAAGGCAGACACAAAGTTCATGTTACTGAATCATAGTTTTCCAACATTTATAATATAGATAGATAGAGTCTGAATGAAAAAAAAGATGAGTTGTTGCCACAATTGAATTCCCAATGCTCACAACCCAAGAGAGGGCGTTCTACAAAACACAACCCACTACCCATCATGAAGTAGAATATTTCATCTCTGATTCTAGCAGGATGGCATAGAACATTGGGTTGGGGGCGAGGGACCACGAGTAACAGGGAAAAGAGAGGGAGAGAACTCTCTGCTTTAAATATATATTCTGGAAGTGTTGAAATAAGTTGTTGGCAACTTCTAAAGTGCTATAAGGTTATGATGCAGCTAATTCGTTTGCCATGAGTTATGAAATGCAAGAGGCTCCATAATTGCTATTTGACGTTATCACGTAATATGAGATACCACTTACTAGACATATCCTTGCAACAAAACACAGTCATCCCATCCCCCCTTCCCTCCTCCCCCAAGGCAAGATTGCAGCAATGTAAGTTCACTTTGTAATACTCCAAAGTGGACACTACATTAAAATATTCCATGATTGATATCTAATCTGATTCAATCCTTCATAATGGTATGTATATTTTACAAACTTCAAAGTAAAGAAGAACACAGAAGACACAGAGACAGATAGATTTGGTGCTCACCTCACATCTTCAAAGTGCACTCCAGATTTTTGTTTGAAATAATGTTCTTCATCAGAATCAGAATCAAAATCATCACTGTCATGTCTCCTACTTTTCTTGTGCTTCCATCTTGATTTTTGCATCTTCTTGTTCCCAACATCATTATCAGAATCACTTTCGGAAGCACTCCCCAGATTACTTTTCCGATGCTTCTTCTTGATCCTCCTCACATGCTCCCCGCTACTACCTGTATCAGAAGAATCATCCCCGTGGTTTCTTCTTCTGCTTTCTTGCTTCTTGTGGCTTCTTGAATCAAGAAGCTTCTCCTCCCCTTCATTCTTCCTACTTTTAACACCCCTTCTCACATCATCATTTCCATTGTCAGAATCTTCCCCATGCTGCTTACCATCATCATTAAGGCCTTTTTTCAGTTTATGTCTTGCTTTATCATCATCATCATCACAATCTTCAGAATTTGAATAAATGTACAGCTTCTTTTGTTTGTCAAACTCAGATGTGCCTATCCCAAGAGCAGCTCTTAGTGTTTCCATCTGCTTCTCCTTTCGAGCAACAATCTGGTGGGTTCGTGTATCTGAATCCCTGAATACAGCATGCAGATAATTTGTTCATGTCTATTTCATAATCACAAAATTGAAGAGTATGATAGGCTTGATAGCTATCAAGTACGTCAGATTTAAAATTAAAACACAAGCATGAAAATAGTAATAAGTTACTTATCTTTTCTTTTTCTTGTTTTTTTGATAAGTAAAAATTTTATAAAAAAATAACTTATCTTTTCAAGCTTGAAAGACAGATTTTTCCTGCCCTAGCAGTAATCTCTGCAGCTGACAGAACAGCACAGAGCTTGCTCTCTTGTGAAAATAATTTTCATTATAAAACAAGCAAAGAAACATGTCAAGTTTTAGGCACCCAAAAACATTAAAAATATATCCCTCCAAAACAGAGCCCCAAAAGGACATGACAATGAAAAACATCACCCTAAACCTTGCAGCCAAAAGGAAAGGCGGCTTAGATTAGCTACTTCCACATTGCTCCCAGGGCGAATATTGACAGGGGACAACTGTGTCATGTCCGTCATATTATATTTACGTGATTTCATGCCACTAAATTGACAGGTTCAATAAAAACATATATAGCACACAATTATCAGTAATCATGATTATTCAGTTTAATTACCGGTTCAAATGATACCAAGAAGGCTTTATATTCAAAAAAAAAAAAGGGAGAATACTTGCAACCCAATTATACACTGCACCATTAACATTATCATAAAGGACAGGGACCGAATTGACAAGTTTAACGACAAAAAAGTGTATTATATACCTGTGAATAACATTAATAAGATAATTATTGCTGATAATAAAAACTTATAAAAAAAAATATATACTATTTTTATAAACAAATTGTACTTTAAAACAAAATTAAATTTATCAGAATTATAATGAAGGATTTAATCAAAAGAAAGAAATAAAAAAATGGAGTTGGAAGAGGGCACATACTGAAGAGAATATTACGTACCAAAGAATGCAATCTAACTAATTCATAGGTTCAGCCGTTTCTTTAAGACGAGCAAACATTTTGTTCTTCTTTTGACCCATCTATACACCTCTAAGCTTACATTAGTCTATTGAATATAATAATTTAAATATTAAACTCAGAAAAATATTTTTTAACCAAACTTCTCATTTTCACCAACATAACTACTAAGGCCTAAGATGCTGCTTACAGCTTACTTAACTCTGCGCAAAATTGCCACCAGCTATTTTATCCTCATATCTATCTATCTGTGTGTGTGTGTGTGTTAGTCTAAATAAGGACATAGATAGCAGGTAATGTATGTTATCGTGGCTCTAACTCGTTCGAGACATTAAAAATTCTACGTTTTAGGCCCTCGTTTTTTTTATTTCCATCTGTTCCCCCTCCATTATCAGGAAGTTTTCCTGATTCATTGCCCTGACTCTTTTAAGAGTTGCAGGAGGAGCAACATTTAATTACTTGCGTAGAATGCATTATATATAAACTAAATATCCAACACCCTTTAATATTTGAAGGGGAGAATTATTTCTGCCAACCCCCTCTCTACAATATTGCAGCCTAAGGACGGTTTAAAAAGCATTCCTCAAGTATATCTAATCTAGCCTTTGAAATAGAACTTGATTTTAGTTACTATTAAAAGCAAAATAAGTATTTCACCAAATCCAACCAAATACCAAAATTACACCACCATATGGAAATGAACCAACAAGCAGGCAGCTGGTTGAAAAAGACTTCTTATCAATTTTCCAACTTTGTCATACTTCAAACAAGTTTAAAATAAATATATATATATATATATATATATATATATATATAAGAATATGTCTGTGCAATGAACATTACTTGATGGTGGTGGCTGCACCAGTGACTTCATCAAACCCCTTGCCCGGGTGGACCTTCACACTTTTAGGCTTCCCGAAGAACTTGTTGGTCTGTATGTATCCGCTGGTACCGGAACCCCTGGGGGTCCGTAATCCAAGTCCATTGTACATTTCACTGCATAAACAAACAAAATTCACAGAATGAATGAGAAAACCCTAATATAAAAAGAAATTGAACACTCTGACTCTTAACCTTTAGTTTGGTACTCGGGAAAGTGGGAAAGAGTGTTTCTAGTAATGAATTTAATTTGGTTTTAACATAATAAATGGATCGATTAAACAAATTTAAAACATTTAACAAATTAATCAAAAACCCCAACCCTTTGTTTGGTTCTCGGAAAAGTGGTGAAAACAAATTTAAATATATTCACAGATTAATCGAAAACCCTAACCCTTCGTTTGGTTCTCGGAAAAGTGGTGAAGGTGATTTTAGTCATGAATTTCATTCGATTTTCACAGAATTGGTGAATCGATTAAAGACGAGATCTTAAAAACGAGAGAATTCATGAAACCCTAAATATATAAGTTGTAGAGAGAGATGAGAGTATATTCACCTGAATCAAGAAGAGGAGCGACGAACTAGCACGAAGGTCTGCCGAACACAGAGAAAGAGATTGCAGATATGAAGTTAAACGAAGAATATGGTAAGTGTAAACTTATGGTCAAAATATATGTATTCCATTTATTGGGCTGCGTTTGTTTTTTTTTTTTGGCACGGCTTGATTTTGAATATATTGGAACCAAAAAAAAAAAAAAAAAAAAAAATTCCTCTATGTTTGTAATAATTTATGCAAATTAATAGGAGTGACAAATTACAACACGACACAAGTTAAAATGATTTGGGTCTGGCATAAACGTGTTTGGGTCATAAAGGGGTCGATACGATTAACCCGTTTACATAATCGTAAACTGAATTATTATAGGTAGTTAAGTCATTTCAACATAAACATTATCTATGCCTTATAATATTTCTTTTTATTTTGAATATTTAGATTATTTATAACAATTTATTATTATTTAATATTTAATTAAATATTAAATATCTCGTTTTGATAAACAAGCCATTAAATGGGTTAGCACATTTACCTATTTAATAAACGGGTTGGGTTAGTATTAAGGATTCTTGACACGATTATTAAATGGGTTGAGTTTGGGTTTACCTATTTAGTATAATACCCTTACATCGACACGACACGAACACAAATGGTCACCCTTACAAATAAGTACATTATGTTAATTTAGCAATTAAAATATTTAAAATACTCCCATAATTCTTTTTCCTTTCTCTCTCCACTCTTTTTCCCACTGCAACATACATAACTGGATTGCGATTTTAAGGTCACCGAAATATAAAGCAAGGCTAAGCTCTCGGGTTGGTTATCGAATTATTATTGAAACCTGAAGGCATAGTTGATTGTCGTGACTGTCACCGAACTGTTGCTTACCAAAATAGTAAATGTTGTATTTTCTCTTGCTGATCAGAGCAAGCTATCATAGGTGGAACAAGCCGTCAAAGTTGGTTTCGTTATTCTGAGCTTTTTGCGGGGCTTTTGGACGTCTCTCTTCACATGACATAAACATAAAGCTTGGTCGGAATCATGAAGTGGGTCTCGTCACCGTCGAAACTAGCGCATTGAAGTTCTCTTTTTTGGGGCTCTATCTGTTCGGTGCTTCGCCGGAGTTGGGTCTCCATTATAGATAGGTACAGATCTGTGAAGGGCTCAGTGGGGGAGAATACCCCCACCAAGATTTTTTTTTTTATACTATATACCCTTGGAGAATTATTTTTTTGTACTTTATACCCTTAAAATTTTAAGTTTGCCCCCATTGATTTTACAAAACAACCCACTGCATATATATATATATTTGCCCTACTACATTTCACATATCCCTTACCCTTTCACACTCTCTAGGATTTCCCTACCGAGTCGCCCCCACAGATATAATTTTTCGAACCCGTCCCTGGTTGTAGAGCTTGTCGTTGCTCGGAGCTCGTGGTTCTGTCCACCGCTGAAGTTTGGCTATGGTTATGGGTGAAGAACCATGAATGGTTGCTAAAGGTTCGGTCACCTTCATACTTGAGGTTGTTGTCGTCACCAGACTGGGCCAATCCTTGCTAGACTCCCTGATTGACAAGATAACAACTCGTCTTGGCATTGTTCGTTCTCTAGAGTTTTGACAAGATGACGACTATTCACTCTCTAGAGTTTTAGCAAGACATCTTTTCATTGTTCGTGCTCGTGATTGGCAAGACGACGACTCACAATAGGTGCAGAGTAATTTACAGAGAGTGGCTTTGAAGAGAGAGAGAGGATAAAAGAAAAAATAAAATAAAATGAGGGTATTTTGGGATTTTTATAAAAATATTTGGACAAAATTGATGATTAGGAGGCAATTTGTTCAAAATTAAGAGGGATATTGTAATGTTGCCAATTTTTACCATTTTTTATTTTCTAGAAATTTCTGATTTTTTCCGAGGGTGATTTCGTCTTTTCTCGTTTTGCGTGTCGGACACCGTGGGGTGTACCGGTTGTGTTTAAGAATTGGTTGGGGGCATTCCATTGAATTCAGGACTCTTGAAAATGCAATGATTGCCATTTCGGTATTAATCTGTTTTTCAGACCGAAAGGTCCTAGGTGGGACCCGCTACCGGAATTGTTATGCACAGGGGTTGCGTCACGGGTCCATTGCATTTCATGCATATTTATTTTATGCATAATTTTATGTTGTGAGTTAAATTGTGTGATTGTGGGTTAATTAGAGTATATATTTATTTTGTGGTGAAAAATTAAGAAGGGTAGGATTTTTAATTGTGGTGGGACCCACCACTAAGACTTTTAGTGGCCATTAGGCCATTGTTTGGCCTCATTTCCTCTCTCTCTCCCCGGTACTCTCTCTACCTCTCATTTTCTTTTTCTTTTTCTTTCTCTTCAAAGCATCAAGCTTTGATTTCTTCCTCATCTTTGAACATTTGGTAAAACCTTATGAAGCAAAATTGAAGAACTCGTCAAGGCCGTCGATTTGATAGGAACCAAACACCATTTAGCCAAGCCTTAGGATTTCGAAATTAGGGCTTAATTTGGGAATTTTAGGGCTTTTCTCAATTATTGAGGTAGGGGTCTCTAATATATAATTTCTTATACTTTTGTGAGTTTTTTCTTTATAATTTGTTAATTTGCATGCTTATTAGTATAGATTCTTGCAAATTGCTTAAATGTTATATATGAAACATGTGACTATGTGTGAGTTGATATGTTGTGATTAAGTATGCCTCTGTGAAATAAAATTTGTGTTTTTGTATGCTTAATATGTTAGAACAATGTGGAATGAAAGCATGCGTTATGTATTTTAGAAATTTATTTTGAATAGCATGTGTGAAAATTCCATGGTTGAATTCATGATAAGAAGCATGAAGTATTTATGCATCCATTGGGAAAGTAAAGGGAAAAAATGTTTTGAAAACAAATAAAATTGTTTTAGGAAAATGTTTTTAAAAGTGTCTGTGAAAACCGGACGCCTAGGAGGCGCCTAGTGGTCCATGATGTTAATATGGTCTAGAGGGAACTAGGAAGAGACCCTAGCGTGGTTGAGCTAACTAGGCCGGATACAACGCCTTGGAGGTGCCTTGTGGTCGTGGATTGTTAGCCAATCCTCCTTTTGTGACGCCTTGGAGGTGCCTTGGGTCGGATTGCACTATCGGTTTCGAAGTTGAAACGGAAATGTTTCGAAAATGTGGAACGACATTAGTATGACATTGCATTACATTGGCATGCATTTTATACATATAGTTGGATGGCCTATTTAGTGGTTTTGATGATATTGTTGACGATGTTGTGTTTTTCCCCCGATTAATATGATCCCGTTTACTTTTATCCTATATTTTACGTGGATTCACGAGGTCGTAAGAAGTGTATCTTAGGTGCTTCCTACTGAGCTTTATACTCACCCCATTATTTTAATTCAGGAAAGGGAGGTTGCCTTGACGTTTCTAATGGGTGTTTGATGACTTCTAATGAAGCTTTGGGACATTCTACGTGTATCATTTTACTTGTACTCAATACATGTAAATCAATGTATATTTGTCTATGTAGGATTCATGGTGTAAATTGTAATTAATGTATAAAGAGGCCATGAGGCCATTTTGAATCAAATTGAATATTGCTTATACCCTTTCTTTACAAGCATTATTGGGATTTTCATGTTCAAGCCTTAAATCAGGTTTATAAGATGTTTTGGGATGAGTTTAAAGCTTAAATTTTGGCCATGGTAGATGCCAATGAGGTCCCCAAGGTCCTATGCACTTGCAGTGACCAAATTTTAGACTTCCCAGGTGGAGAGCCGGCTCTCCCCCTTTGGGAGTCGACTCTTTATAGCCGAGTAGCTAAATTTCGTCAAAAACATGGCGTGGAGCCTGTTCCTTTAGGGTCAAGCCTGCTCCTTTGGAATGGAGCATGCTCCTTCGGTGTGAGTGTAGCCTGCTCCTTTTGAGTGGAGTCGGTTCCTTTCGTAAAATGAAGGCGGCCAGAGCCGACTCCCTTGCTGCTTATCTCCTTTTTTTTTTTATTCAGATTGTGGATGGCTTTAACTTTCTCGTTTTAAATCCAAATGGGTTCATTCTTGAGTCAAATTTCAAGTATTTTTTGTCAACTTTCCAATGAAATTAATTTCACTCAAAAATTCAAATTGTAGAGAGAGTTATGACCTTTTTAGTTGGACTGCTCCGGGATTATTTGAAAACGAAAAGGGCAATTAGGTGAAATCTTCATTCTTATGTCCGGGACTTTGTGTCATAGGTTCAAATGACCCTTGTAACTTATGTTGACCTATTTAGACTCATTTAGAGTTATATAATTAATTTACACAACCTAGTTGACCGTTTTGTCCTCGGTTGTTTTCGGGTTCGGGTAAGGACCCGGCTAGTGATTCGGACTCACAGGTTTGGGTTGTTACAAATTTAATATCAGAGTAGTAGTTCAAATACCATTAGGACAACGGGTAGAGGCCTACCTAGGATTGCATGGAAAAGTTGAATTGCATGACTATGTGCTTATGTGTTAAGGTGTTCAATTGTTCGAAAGGCATGCTTACTTGTTTATCTGCCTATTTGCTTATATGATCACATGCTTATGTGTTTAAAATAATGTATATTATTACTATGATAATGATTGAAAATATATTAATTTTGATATGATGATAAATATAAGGAGTATGGTAATGGCAAGTGGTAGACACAGTGTGAGCAGTTTTTTTTTTTTTATGTTAATTGTTACGGCCCAAGTTTTTTTCAACCCGATGCGTCAGTGATGACCTAAAAGTTAACCCGAAAACGGATTCGAAATGCGTAAGCGAAAGACAAACCAAGATCTCTAGAGATATAAATTATCCCTAAGACACCAAAGTGACCTTCCCTGAAGTCACGGAACTTAAGGAAAGGCGAATGAGCAAACGAGAGTCAAAACGGGTAAAAATTGTTAATTAAGGGCAAGATGGTCAATCCACAAATAAAAAGAGAAAATTAACTCTAAATAAGTCAAACAAGGTGAATACAACATAATTTAAATATTTCACAAATTTCAAAGAGGTTCTAAAAACTTTGGCCAAGAATTCCACAAAACGTCCATTCCCGGTTTAAGCGAAAATTGATACTGTCTCACTAAA